TTTGGCCGCAACCGAATCGCCAAACCGCAAGTACCCTTAGTAATTTATAAGACTTTGTGTTTTCAGTTTGTTTAAATATTCTGTTTGTGTTTTCAATTAAAAAAGAGTTTAAATATTCTGTTGAAATTTTTTTTTCAACTTGAATATCTTTTTTGAATTGAAAAAAATAAATGTATTATTTATCTATATTTTTTGATTTTTAAATCTATCTCTAAAAATAATAAATAGAAAATATGATATATGCTGGTTGGTTTTTGTTTTCAAAAACAGAAATAGATGTAACAATACAGAGCCATACAATCTCTACTACTGCTCTGTTCATGGTTTCTGTGATTTGAATTATTTTTATATTTTAAGAACCACAGATTATAATACTTTATGTGGATGAGGCATGCAGTGATTGTGATATTCTAAAGTTTCAAGCTTTCTTACTTTGGATGTAGCATGTAGTGATTGTAATATTTTTTTAAGTCATAAATTGTAATACTTTCTTCTTCTTTTTTGTTTTTAAGGAAGTGCACAAGTTGAATTATGTTAAAAATTTATAAATTTTAAATCGCTAAACCGATTCGCAACCATCCGTCAAACCGTCAAACCGCCAATTCACTCAATCCACATCCGTCGGATTGACGGACGAATACGAATTAATTTTCTTCAATCCGTCAATTTGATGAACGAATGACGAATTTGAGATTCCGTGACTGCAACCGACCCGCGCCTACCCCTATATAGCACTTTTGGGTTTACTTTTACGAGGCATTTTGCGTCTTATCTTGGAGTAACATCCTATCTTATTGAAAAAAAGAAAAAAAAGAAAAAGAAGCTGTCTCAACACAAAATCCTGGCCGTACGATTAAATCTCGCTTCTCTCTTGTTAATTGCAGAGCCGTTGGCTAACCTTTATGATGCATGTGAAAACCCTAGGGACCAAAATGCTTCGCCGTTTCCTACTTTGTGCCTCTGCTGTCTCTACGTCTCTGCTGAATGGTGATCTGAGCAATTTTTTTAAATTATTATTTACATTTGCGTTTAAATCCTGTCATCTCATCCCTTATTTTACGATGATCTCTCCTTTTGTTTTTGTTTCTGTTTGTTTCCTGTGAAAGCTGTGGAAAATGAGGAGCAACTTTCCTTATACAGTATCCCTGTCTGATTTATTCAGTGCTGTGCTGGAACCTCTCTAAGTCTTACATTTTTGCATTGCCATCATTGTTTTTTGTTTAATTTTCAGATGTTTAATCTCTTCATTTATGATTTTGTAAACTATAATAAGATTTTTAGGTAAAAAACTTTCTTACTGTTAACTTGCTTTGTTTTTTTTTTTTGGGAAATTACAATTCAGTATAATTTTTTAAAAATAAGTTCAGATAAGTGGTAAACTTTATGAACATTAATAATTAAAGTTATAATTTTTTCCATGAATCTGTAATTATTTTGTGAAAGAGCCACTGAATTGTAATTTCCACTTGTTCCCAGATTTCCAAGTTTTGAATCTGAAGCTGCTAGCCAATGATGACAAATTGTAAATTGACCGAAATGCAAGTTTTTAATATTTGCTGTGGTGTTGAAATTCTTGAACTAGGACGGTCTGAGGCTTTGCACCTTGCAGTACATTTGTATTATGCATTTGTTTATTTGTCATTCGTATCACTTTGTATATTTGTATTTATCGATTAAATTAAGTGAACATGAAACATTTGAAATTGGTTTTCATTTTTATTTTATGATAGAAAAGTTTCAAAACTTTAATGGAAATAAATAGCTCCCATTGGTGTCCCTTTTGTCTTGTAAAACATTTGGCTTCTTAATTTTGTTGCTTATATATTTCTCTAGTGTTTGTGGATGATGATAAAAAAAAACATCACAGTTATCCCTGTCTGATATATTTGTGCTGACCTTTTGTTATCTGACACAAACACTATATTTTAGTTTGTTTTTATATACCAATTATTGTTTAGCTATGGCTTGCTTTTCATTTTTGAATAATGTACTCTAATTTCAAGTTGCATCTAGGTTGTATTAGTTCACATCAGTGATACCCTACGTATTTGATTATATACACCCCGTGGGAACATTGGTGGCTGGGCATATTTGGGGATAAATACTCATTCAATTTGGTGGAATTGTTCTTGAGGTTACAAGCAGAACACTCTATTTAGAATGGTCTCCAATGTAAGTTAATACATCCCATATGGATTGGATTCGTGGAAATGTAATATTGAAGGATTATGGATGAGATTAGTACTATTTAAAGATATGAATGAGATTATATATTTTATGAGACAGTTGTCAATAATGCTAGGCACACTAATTAATATACCGATAAACATATCAATTAGAAACAATGTTAAATGGGTTTCATGCAAAGTGGTGGGACTCATGTGCAAACATTGTGTCTAATTGGTATGTTTGTTGATACATTAGTTAGTGAGTCTTAACATTATGGGATATATATGGTTACGATCAGATAAAAAAATGGGATAAAATTAAATATTATTTGTGGTCATTAGATGGAAGGAATGTGAGGATACATATATCCTTGGGATGGTATTTTTTTTTTATGATTTTTGGGATATGGACTGCTTTCATATACCTGGATACAAAAATGAAACCAAACAACGGTTTGTGACATGGGGCAAGGGGAACATGTTGGGTTGGGCCTATGAAATTAGAAACCTCTTAGGCCCCGTTTGTTTGGGGTTATAGGGAGGGGATTGAGATTACTAATCTCTTGATATTACTAATGGAGTGTTTATTTTAAGAGATGGGGAGGGGACTATTAGTCTCTTGCTATTAGTAGTCCCCTTGGAAGGGGGATTGGTAAGGAGGAGGTAGAGATGGTATTAGAAAAATAGTGAGGGGATTAGAATTTTTTTTATTTTTTATATATTTGGAATTTTTTTTAAATATAATGTTTAATTTTTTATATTTTTTTATTTGTTTTATTATTTTATATAATAATAATTTAACAATTCCTCACTATTAATCCCCTTACTATCAATCCCCTCACTAACAATGCCCTCACTATTAATCCCCTCCATTCTATCTCTGAAAACAAACGGGACTTTACCCTCTCCATATCCCACAGTCAAACATTCAAACATGGCCAAAATGTATATTTTGGTTACATTCCTATATATATTTGGGCCACTTTTATTTTGTGGGATAAGGAGGGTTGTTGATGGGGATTAGTGGCATTGTCCCTCCATTGTCACCAATTCTCCAAGTTCCTTGCTTGATTGGGCTATATAGTCTGAACTAGTAGTATGACTAGTTTTGTTTATGCCACCATTTTGTGGGAAAATGGATACCTCCCCCCATGGGATTAGTTATCCTTCACCTCAGGACTAATCTTCCCTGAATCTTGTGATATAAATTATTTCATTTATAATCCCGTGTTTTTTGTTTTTTTTATCCATTGTCCTTGAGTATTTCTCATCCCTTACCCTTTAATGCAAGGCACCTTACTGGAGTCTTCTTTTTTGGGCGAAGATTCTGAAATAGTCAGTTAAGGTAACTGATTGCAAGTACATTTTTCTTCGCTTCTGCAGTAAATTCTATGTACTAGGTCCGTCCCAAAGATAATATGTTCAGACTTTCATCTTTCTTCCAAGCCCTCCCTTTCTCTTAATTCTGCTTTCCTGCAGAGCCATTTTGCAATGCAAGTGTATAGGTTAGTCAAGAATGAATCCCTAGGGTTGAAGCTATTGTTGGTTGGATGAAGTGATGTCTGCAGCTGAAATGCAGGGATGGAAGCTGACAGTCTTGGCAGCGGCAACTTTTGGAAGATTCTACTCATGGGCATTGAGGTTTGTCGCTCACATCTTAGATGCATCTAAGATCCCACCCTGGTGTTTGTCTATGCCAATGGTCCATGGTTATCAGAATCCCGATCCGGATCTTACGATCCTACGATCTTACGATCCATTTGAGTGCAATCGATCCGGATCGTGTAAAAAACTCCTTATAGGTAGGATCTTTCATCTATTCTAGTTCTTTATAAAAATTTAAGTGTTGTGTGGTATATGTGAGTGCACTTTCATATGTGAATGGACGATGCATTTTTATTTTGTGTTTTTTGATTGGATGATGTATTGTTTAGCATAGCAAGTATACAAGTTGGCAAGGAAATTATTGCATCATTAATTCATTTTCTACAATGTTCATATGACAATATGAAATGGCTGCCTTGCTCTGCCTTCCCTAGTCACATGTGGTTTCAAATGTGTTGTGCTCATGTATTGTAACAAATTGGGTATAGATTTGTATGATATTGTGATGCCATCCATTATTTTGAATTTTTGACAACCTAATTAGCTTTTTTGGGGGACTAATCTGAGAATTTTGTTTAAACTAAGGATTTAAGCTGAAGGAACTTGCAAATTTAGGTCTGTTGTTTAAAAGTGTTGTTTGGTTCCATTTACTAATATGTTCAATGTAGTTCAATGGAATGGAGGAATTAGTTAGTAATGCTAGAGAGCACCAAGAATTGAGTGAAACATGTTGGTTATTTGCAAATAGAAAATTTATGCAGAAAAACTTACTAAAATGATACCTCTAGTGATATTTTTTACAGTAATGTTAGAAATGCTAGTTAGTGTTCTAACAAACATATTAATAGACACAATGCTAAGTGAATCTCATGTTATACATCATCAAATGGTGAATTTCATATGGATGTCGTGTATTGGTATATTTATTGCTACACTAATTAGTGCATTTATCCCACTTTGACGAGTCTTTTGATTTAATATATATATATATATGTTTATATATTATTACTCCTTTAGAGAAAGGTTGTGAACATACGAAAAATGGAAAATATGATTCAAATTCAAATTTGGTTTGATATTTTGTGGGATTGCAAATTTTATTTTCCGTGATTGTGGCTTGCTAATATATAAAGATAACTCCCACCATTGCCACTAGTAAATTAGTAATTTTAAAAATGTAGCTAAATATAAAATAACATATTGTTATGAAAAACATTTATTATAATTCAGTCAAAATAAATGGGGTGTTCATTAGTTTTTAAGGGATTTATCAGGTTTTAAATAAACGAATTTATGTATATAACTCACATACAATTACATACTATATGTACTTGCCTAAATTTTCGCAAATATTTACAAATTATTTCACAAAATCGTATAAATTTTTACAAATATACATGAGTTAATTCATAAAAATTTAAAAAATCACAATTTGCGTATATTTATATAAATTTATACGATTTTGTGAAATAACTTATGTAAATATGCGAGAATTTAAGTAAGTGTACATGATATGCTCCTTATACGCAAACACTTCTTATAATCTATTGGCAAATGGAAAGAATCTCAAATAAACAAACACCAATAAGGAACTGCAGGAACAACAGGGCAATAATCTCCCAACTTCAGAAAAGCATCCGAAAACCAACAAATACAGATATATATGTTCCAAAGCCTTTTGTTTCATTTATCACTTCTCCAAACAGCTGTTGTGAGAACACTACCAACAATACTCCACAACATGGAAATACTTTTGGAACAAATTCATTACTATTCATGCAGTTACAACAAAACTTCGAAATATTACTACGGCTCTACTTTACAATTCACACATTCAACTAGTGTTAAGCCAAGGGAATAACAACAGCAGCCATATGGATTGGGAAACGAAACAAGAACTCTGAGAGAGAGAGAGAGAGAGAGAGAGACAAAATGTTCCCAAATTACGCAAGTACTTGGTAGGCTGGTTGTCTCTTATTCCATAATATCTGTTACGTCACTGTTTCTTCCCCATAACTAAAGTAGAATTAAGGATCTATACCTGCCCCTCTGAAGGTAGTTATCTGAATTTTAAGTTCACTCCATGCATCGAAAGATTCCTCACATACTACTTGATGGTGATGTAGCGATTTGTCCCGTGCTTTGCCCAATGGTCCTTGAGATCCACTGGATGTGATAGATCATGTCCTTCAGCAGCAAGCCGGCTAATCAATTTGTTGAATGCACTTCCACTCATCTTTCGACCACCAACCCGTGCATGGCGTTTGTTAGGCACAGCCGGGAGTGGATACATCGACATGGTGGTTGTGCAGCATGAAGATTGCCAACCACCATTTCCCCATTTGTAGCACGGCCGTAGGATTCCTGTGCACGAGCAAACTGGCACTGGCATAGAATCATCAAATGCAACCTGATTCAAACCCAGGTCCTGATCCTTCCAATCGGGCTTTGACATGCCCAACTGTTTGTCAAGATCATCACCTCCACTACCCGTATCCTGTCTGCCAAACATCATCTTATTCAGGTCCTCCCCTTCCCTCTTGACCTTTTTCAAAGATTTGGAAGGCTTTCTGTTAGATGCCGTTGCCTTGGCCTCCTTTGTTCGTTTAGTCTGCCTAGACTTTGCAGGCTCAGAGGCAACCGGTGACATCGAGAGGCCATCGCTTGTGTGCATATCCCTCGAAATGTATTGTGCTTCACTCATGTGAGGATGATGGTGCATGTGTTGCTGTGGGTGGTGCAAGTGTTTCACTCCACGTGAAATTTGGCAACCCGGAGGGCATGGAGACATACTACTGCTAGTCATTGCATTTTCCCGATATTGAAGAGTGGCAATGGCATTGTCTCGTTCCATAATAGCACTGTTTCGTTCTGCCATTGCTGAATCGCGCTGCAGGATAGCCATGTCTCGCTCTGCCAAGGCTGCCTTTTTCTCAGAAACTGCCAGATTTCTTTCTTGAATAGCAGAATCTCTTTCAGCCATAATGGCCATTATTTGCTTCATTGATGGCTGATGCTGCATCAACCACTGAAATAAAGTAGTTGGACAAACTATCAGTCACAAGTGGAAATTTGGAAGAAAAAATTATTATAGTGCATGGTTTACAACACACCACAAATCATTTCTTTCAAGTAAAAAAATTACTTATTGCCTGTACCTGACCCGGAAGTGGTTTGTGTCTTCCATTTTCACGATGCCCACTGTCATCCATCTGACCTCAACAGTTGGCAATAACTGTAATACTAGCTTCAACTTTCAGACCTCTACTAGAAGAGCCATATGCAGCCAAATGAGCATCAAACAGGTAACCAGACTAGGAATCCTGTAACTCAACATCTAAACACTAAAAGAAAAATAAATTTTGAAAACTTTGTTCTGAAACGTACTCTTAGAAATGAATTAGGAACACATAATTTACTCCAATATTAGAAAATAATGTGGATGGGAGAAAATGCAGGACTACATTACCCTCAACAGGTAGAGATGAAAAGTAGAAATCCATTCATTTGCCGAATCTTCTGTGCACAAAACTAGAGCATAAATCCAGTATCAGGTGAAAGAGAACCCATCAAATATGAATTCAATCTGGTCGAACTGTAAGAAGCCACCACATGCTTCGGTCAAGATAGTGTCCAAGAAAACAGAAAAGCAGTAGCAACAGAATTACCTGGAAAAAAAAATAAAAATAAAACTTCTTCACAAACAGCGCATGGCCTGCAAAGATACTGATGCAGTCTTACACTCGAGACTGAAATCTGATAAAACCTGATAAATAAAAGGCGGCAGAAACACCCAACAAGCAAGAGCTTTTAGAAGAGCTCATATGGAAAAATAACTTTCAATGAAAATACTGTTGTTGCTTCTATAGTGCTGCTATCTGATACAGGTATGCAAACTACAAGGTTATGCAGGACCAACAAAGAAAAGTGGAGAAAGATTTCATGAAAGCACTGAACTGTGTAGACCCAAATTATGATTGCCAAACACAATATTAGTATGTTTGGGATTTTTTTTTGACTTTTTACGAAAAAATGTGCAAAAAGTAGAGGTTTGTATAGTTCTTTGGCTTTTTGACTTTTTTAGCGGCTTTTTGACTATTATCCAAACTTCCCAAACTTGCACTTATTCATTCAAAAAGCAGATGTAACATAATGGAATGTGAACAAAGGAGCTGTGACTTTCTCTCTCTGTCTCTCTTTTATTCTGTCCCCAATCCAAATAGTATGTCTTAACCTCATTATATCTCAAATCAACACTTCCAATTATGTTAAAGTAAAACTTAGTCAAATAATTAAGCTAATTTAGAGCAAGTTTGATTAGTTAGCTTCTAATCTTTATTCTTTGATACAAATGCAATATCATAGGAATTTGAAAACGGGAAGAGCAGTCAGGAAGAAAATACTACTACTAGCACTAGCACCAGCACTAGCAAAGGTTATACGCAAGCTCACACAGAATTTGGAGTTCAACAAAATACGGAACAAGAATGCAAAGACAGACTTTCTAGTTTGTTGAGTGGCGACACATCTACATTTATTGTAGGTATTGCATGATCAACTTTATATGGAATGATGAATCCATTAATAACTTTCCTTTCCTTTATTTTTTGAAGGGGTTTTTATCTTGTGTAGTTTTCTTCCTGGAAACAAATATTTGTCAACAACTTTGTCATAACTTGTAAGTTTTACATGTTACGAGATCTAGGTATAATAAATGTAGGAGTAAATCATCGCACCTACAGCGCAATCAATTGGCAGAGAATCAATAGATTCCTTTACGTGTGCCCAGCCCCATTGTACGATCAGTTTTATAAGTAATGAGGAATCCATTAATAACTTTCCTATTCTTTCTTCATTTCTTGGAGGGGTTTTTGGCTCGTGTAGTTTTCTTCTTGGAAACAAATATTTGTCGGCAACTTCATCATAACTCGTTAAGTTTTACATGTGACGAGATTTAGGTATAACAATTGTAGGAGTAAATGATCGCACCTACATTCCAACAAATTGGAAGAGAATCAATAGATTCCTTTCGTGGGCCACTCCATTACGTGGCATTCTAAGAAGCACGGATACGGATACGGATACGGATGTGGACACGGACATGGACATGAGACATGGCAATTTTAAAAAAATAGGGACATAGACACGGCGGGAACACGGAAATAAAATATATTTTTATTTGTTATTTAGATTAATATTACATCCACAAACAATCAATATTAACCAAAACTAACTCTAATTGTGTGTATATATATATATTTAAAAAAATACTTTACGCTTACAGTTTATATCTTTTTTTATGGATGATCTAAGTATTTAAATTTAAGAAAAAAATAATAAACATTTAACATTCATCAAAAGCACTAAATAAAATGAAAGAAAAGGCAACTTGGCATGTCCCTAGTGTGTTCCCGGTGTGTTTCCTGAAAATAAATTAATTAAATAAGGAGACATGTCATGTGGTGTGTCCCATACGTGTCCTTTCCGTGTTTGCGTGTTCTCAAAGTGTCCGTGTGTCCAACACGGATACAACATTTGTTTTGAGGTGTTGGTGCTTCATAGGTGGCATTGCCAAAGGGAAGGCATATGATAGATATGTCAAGACGTTGATGGATCAGCTCATGTTTTAGTTGATTAAATCATTATTAAATATTACTCAATAGAAGCCAATTGGACCGATAAAATTATAAGATAATAGTCTGAATTAAATATTATTTGTATAAATTTTACAGTTAAGGATGTCAAAATGTAGAGATTTATAGATAAGCGGTAAGGACGTTAATATCCTTAGGTCAATAAAGTTTAACAAGTGATTCCATTAAATAAATTATAAGAACTCACAAGTAGACTATATTCTTTCTTGAAAAAATTGATTGTTGTTAGTAAATTTTTTTGGTTTAATATGATTTCATACCAATTAAATAAATTATATTATTTGTTTATTACAAGATTTTTTAACATGTGATTACTAATAACTTTTTAACATGGGCCGGATTAAAATTTTCAATAATGCTAGGATGATCATCTTTTTTTATCACAATATGCTTATTACCTTTCACACTCATGCTTGATATTAATATAACATTGACACATGGGATGGTAAACAAAATATGGTAAGAAATATGATTATCATAATATTATTGTAAATGTTTATGGGAACATTATATGAGTAATTTTGAAAGGCAACTCTATTCCAGTGTGAACTTTACCAATTTTTTGAGATTGATAAATTGAATTTGGGGGGGCTATCATGCAATATACACAAAAAAAAAAAAAAAAAAAAAAAAAAATTAAAAAAAAAAATTGATAATAGATTATATGTAAAATTGAAAAATTTCAGAAAGTTGGAGGAGCCCCTGTATACAATATTGGAGTAGCTCACATCAATTTGATATAAAATGTACTTTTTTTTTTTGACACATTGGAGGAGAGGGAGAACATAGCACAGTAAAACTACTATAATGGAGTTGTTCTAATGGTTTAAAATAGGAAGGGCCTTTATTTAAAACTGGGACTAAACAAAATTTCAAAGAGAACACCATTATGCTGTGTTTGGTTGGGAGATTTGGAAAAGGAAACGGAAAAAGTGTGTGAAACTAGATAAAATGTAGAAGATATATTTTATTCACATTTTACCTACATTTTCCCTTTCTCTTTCCAAATCCCTTCTTAAATCCCCCAATCAAACACAACTGTTAATAAACAAGCAGAATTAAACAACAATTCCCACAACTAAATACTATTTGTTCAACAAACTACAACTTATGAACTTAAGATCAAGTCTCTATGCACAAATCAACAAACCAGTCATTCAATTATTCAATGCTAACTTATCAAATGACAATGTTTAACTGATTTAGCAAATCAATAATACAACACAAAACAAATTCGAAAACATACGAGCTTGAACTGAACTCAGCAATCAAAATAGAAAATCCACTTTCAAATTTCAACCTTGCAGATTCAACAGTATTCAGAGGAACCAAAAACAGAAGCTCAACAGATAGAAACACTAAAACATCAAAACCCTCAAACCAAGCTTCATATGCAAGACAAAAACATCAAAGATAAACAAAATTTGAAGACTAGAAACAACACAAACAACTAACATGTACTCAGAATTTAGCTCTGTCAACGATTTGTAAGAAAAACTTGCTCTAGGTATAAGTAGGGGTGGTGATCAGAGAAAGAAACAGAGAAACCGCCATTAAAGAGTTGCAGAGAAATCGAAAACTTACGAGTGAAGAGCTAGAGAGAGAGAGAGAGTGGAATCGTTGGAGGAGAGAGAGTCAAAGCCCTAAATCGAAGATGGAAAATTGGGGAGTTTTTATTTTAACCATTAACAGTCAGTCACCATCTTTATGAATTGAAGTTATCTTTTTATGCTCAGAAAAACAAAAAAGTCACCATCTTTTCTTTCTTTTCTTGTCTTTTGAGTCATACTTTTAATTGGAGGGGAAAACATCTCATAATTAAAAAAAATATATCACAATTAAATATAACATGATATACTTATGAAACATAATTAAAATAATATCATAAATAAAGAAAAAAAAATTATAATTAAGAAAAAAAATAAGATAACTAAAAGTACATATAATATATTCTTTTTAAAAAAGTAAACCAAGCTTTTTAGCCCAGGCTAAAATAGCCAAAAAAACCAAAAAGCCAAAAAGCCAACCCACTTCCCAAACGGAGGCTACTATTGCTGTTGGTTACACTTTAACTAGTAAGAGTGGAATTAAAAATAGGAAAACTACAACGAAAAAGAACATATTTCAATCAGTGGGAGTTTTGAACACTATATAGGTAAATTATAGTAAATCTTCTTAAATTATGACTCATTTTCACTTTGTTTAAAATTTCAAAACGCAATAATTGAGCACTTTGAACTGTTATCTTGTAACACGTAAGACTTTCTTTTAAAGTCTTGTTTGAAGATTTAAATAGAATCTTATGTGTAAAATACATGACATATTTATTAAATTTTTAGGACAATAATATCCGTTATTGATTATTTTAGGACAATAATATCCTTATATAATGATTTCATTTGCACATTGGCTCCCTTGTCTTAGTAGCCAAATACAAATGAGATCACCAAATCAGAACATTATTGCCTTAAAAGATTTAATAAATATGTTATGTGTTTTACATATGATCTAATTTTGTGTCAATCTCTAACAAAATCTTAACATAAAGAGTTAACTGTAATAAGATAATTATTGAGTTTTGAAATTTAGGAGAGCAAAATGCAAATAGGTCATAGTTTAAATGGGTTTAATGTAATTTACTCTAATTATAAATGCATGATAATTTTATAAATATTAATAATTAAAATCATAAATTTTTTTATGAATATATATAATAATTTTATAGAATTACCACTTAATAGTAATTTTGCGTAAAAAATAAAATAAAATAAAATAGAGATTTAGGATAATTAAATCACAAAACGGTAGGTACCTTTTTGTTAATTACATTAGAGATGACATTTAAAAAAAAAGAAAGATAAATTACGCCTACACCCCTGAGATTTGACTTTAATATAGATATATCTCACATTTTGAAAATTACATTTTCCTACTTAAAATTTATAGTCTCATTACAAATTGTTTCCTTCATTAACTATTTGTTAAGTTAGCTAACCCCATTTGCTAACAATATCAATTAATTTACTTAATGGATCGCATTGGTGGCACCAACAACCTAAGCCCCTTCTTCATAATCAACAATCTTTACATTGTATCTACTTTTTTCTAATTTGTTTGTCATAAACCACGTGCTTCTTTTTTTTCTTCCCTCCCTCTTTTTATTTTGCTTGATTTTTTATTAGAAATAGTGGTGTTTTTCTACCCCTCTCATGTTTGATGAAATATTTTAGAGAATGTCGATCAAAGTTGTAGGTTGTGAAAAGGAGAAGATGGGTTGTGAATGATGGATGGGATCACTACAAAAAACGTAAAATTAGCTCGCCAACCCATGGGTCGCCCGAAGGCCATCCATGGTCTGAGACCCTGAGCCTGGGCTTGGGCCGTTTGTTTCATAGCCTGACTTGGTCTGCCTCTACTTGAACTTTTTTCCTCGACCCGGCTTGGCCGACTTGCCCCTAATGGCTCCCTGCTAGTACGCAATCCAATGATAAAAAATTTGATTCAAATTGTCAAATGACCATTTCTCCCACCCACCAACGGCCACAAATGTTTTTTTTATTAATAAATCAACCCCTCCCTTCTCTCAACTCCTATAAATACCACCCATCTCCCATTTTATTTATCACAAACAAATATCTCTCTCAAACTTTCATTCTCTCTTAACTCTCAACTCTTTTAATTAATTTTGAAGTCCCTAAGTGGCAATTGCAATTGTGCAGGAAAAAACTTTTATCAGAAGAAACTAATTTTTGTATCGCATTTGCCAGTTGGTAACATTAATTATTTGAATTAATATTTATTAGTTACTCATTTTTTTTATGTTAATTATTTCGTAACATGTATTAGTTGTTATTCCAAAATTCATTATTGTTTACTCATTATTTTAATTAATTGTTAGTTCATATATATTATTTTACTTATATTACTATGGATCCTAATATTCCTAATGTTTATATCAATATTGATGTATATACACAACATAAATCTGTTGATTCTCCTTCTATTTACCTAATATCCCTCTTCCAACAGTAGCAGCATCATCATCTAGGGGCACGTCTAGTACTGTTTGAGAGCATTTTAATAGAGTAACAATAACTAATCCTGATGGTACAACTATATTTAAAGCAAAATGTAAATATTGTACACATTTATTTAGTGTTGCATCTGTATGGGGTACTAGCCATCTAAAAAGGTATGCTCAAAGACATTTACAAAGTCAACATTATATTAGAACTCAAATACAATTAGGGGTTCAATTGGTAATTTGTAAATATTTTCATATGATCCTATAGGTGCACAAAATTTTGTAGTTTATTATTTTATTAAAAAAAACAACAACCTTTTACTATTAGTGAATGTCCCAATTTTTAAAAATGATTCATGGAGGTTTTGTACCGCAATATCAAGGTTTTTCAAGGAATATTGCTAGAAACAGGATTTTAAAGAAATTTGAGGATATTAAAAGTGAATTATTTGATATTTTCAAAAATTTGAATGCAAGAGTTTGTTTAACATCTGATTTGTGGTCAAAAAATTGTTAGAATATCAATGTATCAAGGCATATTTTGTTGATATTGATTGGAAATTAAATAAAAGAATTATTTCATTTAGATTAGTTGACTTCCATACACTAGTCATTTAGTTGGTGTAGAAATAAGAAATGTATTATATGAGTGAGTTTTGCAAAATAAAATATTTACTATTAGTTTAGATAATGCAACACAGTACAATCAGACTGTAGCTTGTTGGAAATCAACTTTGTAGCTTGTTGGAAATCAACTTTACAATTAGTTGTTGATGGTGATTTATTTCATGTTCGTTGTTGTACTCATATTTTAAACTTAATTGTTCAAGAAACCATGCATGTATACGAGACTTCTGTGCTGGTAATAAAAAATGTGATTCTTATTATTATGTCTTCTGTTAACCGAATTTCGGAATACAAGAAAATCTGTCAACAAGAAGGTATGCCATTTAAAAAAAAAATTAATTTTAGATATAGACATCAGGTGAAATTCAACGGATAATATGTTAAAGAGAACTTGTAAACAAAGAAAAATAATAGATTTATTTTTTACAACAACATTAATAGGAGGAGTATTGACTCTCACAGAACTTAATTGGGGTCAAATAGCCCTATATAAAGATTTTTCAAAAGTTTTTGATATTGCAACAAAATTATTTTCTTATTTATATATATATGTATTCCTACTTCACTATTTTTTTTTATTTTTTATTTTTACATATGTTAGCATAAATAATGAAAGTTTTCACAAAATATATGGATAATGAATATTATGTAATCATTATTACTGCAATAAAAGAAAATTTTGATAAATATTTTAATCAATTGTCTCATCTTTTAGGTTTAGTCAAAATAATTGATCCTAGGCATAAATAAATTGGTTTACAAGAATTTTTAGAACTAATTTTTGTTGATTAATAACAACTTGCCCCTATTATGAAAATATGCAAAAAAATTATTTGAAGAAACATGGCAGCTGTATCTGCAAATATACCTAGATACACTACACTAGCCTCATCTTGAGGTGGAAGATTAAATATTTTTGTAACAATAAAAAGTAGAAGAATATCTCAACATACAAGCATAAGTAGTTCTGAATTACAATTATTTGGATAGACCATCATGATATAGAAGATTTTGATATTTTAGATTGGTGGAAACAAAATGAACCTATGTGGCATGTGCTTTCACATATGGCTCGTGATATACTAACTGTTCCCATTTCTATTGTTGCTTCTAAAACAGCTTTTAGTGTAGCTGGACGGGTGCTGAATGATTACCACGGTAGGCTTACACCTAAATGGTTGAGACACTGATAATATCCAGAGATCATATGCATGCGCAAACGAGAAGACAAAATTATAGTGAAAATGAAAGAATTCAAAGCGATTTGGATGATATATTCTCGAGCAATGCGAGTGAATTGTCTGTCTCCTCCAATGATTGATCAACAAATTTTTTTTTCCACTATTTCATTTTGTAATATTTTTATTTGATTATTGAGGTGAAGTATAATGCAAATGATTGGTAGGCTAGTAGGTGCCAACCGAGTTAGGATGTACTTGACCTATAGTGATGCAATTGCTCTACCATCATCAATAATCTATATCTATTTTATTTAATGATATAAATTTTTATAATATTTTATTTCATTTTGAAATAAAAATTATTCATTAAACAAATGTTATCTATTTAACTTAATGATTGTAATATTTCGTTTCATTTTGATATATATAAAATTATTCATTTCAAAAGAAGAAAATTACATAATTTTATGTTTTCTTAATCATAAGTTAATCAAAAAAACATAAGTCATACATAATTAAATACCACCACATGAAAAATAACCAAATAGCTCATTAATCTTAACTAAAATACTTTAGTACAAATTTCCTTTTGTTTTTCATCCCACATACATAATCTATAATATATTTATTATTTATTTTTCACAAAAAAAGGGCCCACCAGCCCGGCCCAAGGCCTAATTTGAGTGGGCTTGGGCCTGGGCCAGACTTTTTGGCTAGTGGGCCGGTTCGGCCTAGCCTAACAAAATGCAGGAGCCTGCGCGGCCCAAAGGCGGGCCGACCCAGCTCGGGCCCAAATTACACCCCTACAAAAAATTAAAATTTTAAAGACCAAAATTTAGGGACAAAATAATTTTTTAGGGA